TCCGGCATCGGCAAAATCTTAAACAGCAATCCAATGACAGTTACTTTGAACCCTAACAATACCACTTTTAAATCTAACAAATTCAATGGTAAGAAGAAAGCAAAGGTTGCTGCTCAACGACGGGAATACTGCCAAGATTATGTACTAAAACTGTGCTACGGCACGATAGAAAATGGGCTCCAGAATTAGTTCAAATCAAGATTTAGATAAAGAAATTTCATACGATGAAAATGAAGGAAATACAGATACCACTTTCCTTTGAAAAAAAAAAATTCTTCATCCGTAGGTAACGATTACGATACTAAAGGAGAAGTTAATTATAGCAGAAAAGCTCTCATCAGGAAACACAGATGCCACCCTCCTAAGAAAAATCATCTTCATCCAGAATAATGTATTCAGTGCGCAATATGAAATTCCAACACTAATGTCTGCCACGGCGCTACCCACAATCAACAAATGAAACCTCAATCAGTAATTAACTTCAGAACTGGTACAATCAAGACTTAACCTAACAAAGCAAGTCTCCGATGTAAATAAAAGGTCCAATATATTACAAAATAAGAAACAAAAAAATCTTATACGAATAAGTAAAAAATTGTTCAAATTATCCACGTCCAATCAAATCTATACTTAAAAAAAATTTATTCTTATTATAATACTCCCTCAGCGCCTAATTTCATGCAAGGAAAATAAAAAAGACATAAGACAGAACAACGTATGGCCGTTAAAAGCTAACACCAATATGGTGCGAAATGAAAAAGCAATGGTAAACCATTTAGAAAGTTTAAACTAAAATTAAACAGCAATCTAAAACAACATTTTCAAAAAGCAAATGGTATGTAGATTTCCAATGCAAAAGAAAAACCAGACGTTTCCGTAAATTATAGTGCTAACCATACAAAGGCATAAACCTTCACTAATTGGCATCTCATTTTTTAAAAATCTTCCCATTTTTCCTCAACCGCAGAATTTTCTTCCACTCAGAACATGGCGAGCACCAAAAATGTTGTTAGTTTATAGCACTTATGACTAAAGAAAGCAATTATCTTTCCAAAACAAAACAATCACAAAGTTCACATACACGTCTTTCACGCCTAAGAAATCTATTACCATAAACTTTCAATAAAAATAGAAAAATACTAGTAGCAAGAACGTTCCAGACTACCAAAAGCTGTTAAAGTCTTTGAAAAAAAAAAATGTGGCCGCAATGAAAAATAAAGCAACTCTATAAAATTTTGTCAATCAAAGACAAACGAACATTAATTTGAAATGCCTTTTAATGACGCCCTTCTGGTAAGCCTGATATCTAGCAGGAAAAGCTGAAGGGTCCCAAAAAATTTTTCTACTGCAGCTTTACTAATGAAAATTCAAGTATAGCTTCAGAGACACATAGAGCTCATCACGGAAAAACCCATAAAACAATAAAACAATTATAATACACTTTTTCAACACTCATTCAAACCAAATAAGAAAACCTCCAATACAATCAAAATAAACAAGCTGTAAACCCCTCGACATTTGACTGACTTATGGAAATACCCATTAGCAAACGATAATGAAACATTCTGCTTCCCCTCGTCCTTTACAAAAAAAAACGACAACTGTATGCAGAAAAAAGTAATTTCCCGCTAAAACAAACTGTAGTCGAAGTACCCCTCATGCCAACATTGAAAAAGAGAAACCAAGATAGAAACAATGCAAGTCATAGAGGTAAAGTTAGTAGTTCCTCAATTAGTTATCTATTCCTTAAACTTATGACTTGATGAAAATTACCAAAAATAACACCACCAGCCACACAATCCTTTAATAAATCACTATCTCAGTTGCAACAGAGAAATCTTAGGGGACAAATTAATGTTTGATCGTTATGCATTAGGTGGAAAAGTATAATTGAAATGCCCAAAAAATTGCAAAGCAACTACTTTAATATGAAGATTTTCGATTGTTAAGTTGATAGGTATTTCGTTTCCATCGATACTGCTATTTAATCAAAAAAAAAAAGTTTTCAGAACGAGCTGTCCTTTTTGACATCTGTGATGCCAGCAAAATGCTAAGAGCATATTTACACAGCAAGCCTTAAACTTTAAGATAACAAAAAATGATAATACAGTGACAAGGAGAGACTAAACATGCTAACAATGCCAAATACAAACTTCACGAGATGTCTTGCACTACACAAACTGGCCGCCAAACATCTGCTTCACCCCTTCAAAACCAACCACGATAGTTTTCTGTTCTGCATTTTGCAACACAGTCTTTAAACTATAAAAGACTGAAAAAAAATTCCTCACCAAAAAAACTAACCGAATAATGAACAATTAATTATTTAATCAATCACTATTCTTTGGATCTTCAAAACATGACAAGAGAAAAAAGTCAAAAAAAACTGTCTCTATTCACCTACCAAA